AAAAAAAGGATATTTTTTCCAAATTCAATGAAACCGTCAACGATTTTTATGTTTATTAACAAACCAAAAAAATATTTATCTTTAAAGTCAATAAATATTATTAAAAAAAGAAAATATTCTTTTAAGAGAACATTCATAAAATCTATTAACATTGTAAGTCTACATTTTATTATTTACAAAAACACATTATTTTTCTTTACACACATAGAAAATAAATAATATAAAATATCTAGATAGGGTTGTCAAATGCTCAAAATCAGAAATAAAAAGAGAGCCTCTATGTTCCTTTAATTGACATCAACACAGTGAAAATGTATGTATATATATATATATTCGGGGCGGCAAGAAGACAGTGGTTACCGTCGGATATCAATACGACCGTCGGAAATCAGATGCGCCTCAGAAACTAGTAATGTCTTGGAGGAACATCACCTGGATTACGGCAGCTTACACGGGATATTGGCCGTTGTGATTGCTGTTCAACATAACGTGTCGCGGTAACCGAGACCGGTGTAGTAGTATAGCAAAACGGCATATTTGTACTAATTGGGGCTTATATACATAATAGCTAAAACAGTTCAAATTAACTAATTAAGTGTCATGAAAGTGTTAGGACAAATCGCCTAGAAAATATTATTTAATCAATATTTTTTTAATAAAATTTTTCATTAAATTTTATAATTTTTCCAAAGACAAAACAATAACAATTGATTACTTTAAAAAACAAGAGAAAATTTTAAATAGAAAAAAAAAACACCTAAAACAGAAGAGAACACATTATTCTCTTCATAAAGAGTATACGTATACGGTTTACAAGGCTACTAATACCTTCATTACATAAAATCAAGGTTCTTCATGAAACAACAACAATAAGAAAAAAATTAAACAAAAGCAAAAATAATAAGAAATAAATCATAGTCCTAAAGGCAATATTTCGTATTTTAGTTTTCTCTTACTTTCATACTGCTTTTTTTTTTCCTTTTTGCAAATGAATAGCCCAAAAAAAAAAGAAGCAAATTACAAAAACAGACACAAGAAAAATAAAGGACTTTTTTTTTTTTTTGAATTAATAATTATTATAATAACAACAATAATAATACCAACAACAGCATTGAAGAACAACAACAACATTAATAACTAATTCAATAGTATGTGATTCTCATAAATTTTGACACCAGCATATCTCTTTTTTTTTTTTTGGTTTTTCGTTCTGTTCTTTTTTTTTAATTCAAATTTATTCTAGGTGACCTTTTTATATATTTTTTTTTTATAAATATATTTTTTTACACCTATACATATAATACGTGTATATAAAATTAATCTATTTACTTATGCATAATAAAATATATATATATATGTATATTATATGTATACGTATATAATATACAAATTTGTCATATTATCTATTATACAAATTTATTCCACACGTACATTTATACATAATATGTATAATAAAATTTTAAATTTATTTTTATACATGTGTTTAATTTATATAGTTTATTCTATACAAAATCTATTACGTCAATGAAAAAAGGTTATATTTAATTATAATAGAAATGCATATTATATAGAAATATATATATATTATATATGATATATATAACAAAATGTATATAATATGCATTGCACATTTTATAAATTATTTGCATATTTATTTTTAGTATATATACAATAATATTCAATTAATACATTTTATATTATAATATTATGCCTATATCTCTCTATATATATATTATTTTATCATATATACATATAATTAAAATTATATTAAATGCATATGTTGCATCAAAATTTTCAAAGAATATAATAATATAACAGTAGAAGAAAATAATATTATATGAAATTAAAATGCATTTATATACATACATATTATTATTATTGTTATACTAAGGTAAATAATAATTTTTACTCATAATATAGAAGATATTTTATAGAAATATAGTGTCGTATAAGCTACTATGTGTTCGTATATTTGTAATAATGATCATAATCAACAACAGACCTCTCGAAGATAGCTAAAGAAAATTTATATAAAATATTTTTTTTTTCTTTTTTTTTTTAATTTTATTATTATTATTATTATTATTATTATTATTATTATTATATTCTAAACAGGATAAATTCACGTATATTTTATATAAAATTTATAACATATATTCTTTTTTTAATAATCATATTTAGTTAGTGAATATAAAATATTATTATAAAAGTATATTCTGTAAAAATATTATTATGTATGTACATCCCTGTGTACATGCAAAGTTTTTAATTAATTTCATCATTTTGTATTATCCTTGTACTCAAACCTTATAGAATTTTCATATTTTGCTTTTCTTTTTTCTTATCGTCATTTGTTAAGGACATTCGTTTTTAAGAAGAAATTTTATTTTTTATTTTATATACGAGTACTTTTTTCTACTAACTCTATGCTTTTTTAAAAATAATATATGTATACGTAGCTATTTCTTTTTCGTAAAATAATAATTTTTATATATTCAATTCTATTAATATATAAAAATAAAATTAAAATATAGCATTAAAAAAAAAATAGGCGAATAAAAATAACACGTCATATAAATAGCAGAAAAATATGCCTGTAAAAATAATTTATAACACCTATCTCTGTAATAAATTAAGCTTTGTGTTATTAAAAGAATTTCTGTTAAAATTTATGTAGTCAACAGGAATTTGTGTTATTCTCCTTATGATGAAAATAAAACAGAGAAAAGAAAAGTAGGAATGTAAAAAAAACAAGAATTTCTTTTATCTATTGCTCTTTTTTTTCAGTATGTTTTCAAAAAGAATTGAAATTGAGATTATAAAACAAAAAACAAAAATATTACTCACTCACTATTGCTTACTAAAAACACACTCTCTTGCCTGAGAAATGAGTAAGAGTAATTTAACATTACATTATTTTGTTGTACATATTATTTATGTTATGTTATAGGGAAATATTCTTAATAGGATTAAAAGCTTAATTAAATACAAATATTATTTGAGTTAAATTTTAAAATTGAAAATCAACATAATGTATAAGCAATATAACATATTTTAGTTTAGAAGGATTTGAAGTAATAAATAATATGTACTCTAAAATAATAATATTAATTAAAGTAAGGTAATATGGTTAAGTTAATGTTCAGGAAAAAAATTATAAATTGGTTTACAATAATATTATAATATGAAAATTTTTATAATTAATTCGAATTTACTGCTTTTTAATATTAAATGCTGATTTTGCATACAACATAGTAATCTAGCTCTTCCATTGGCTTATTATATTATATAAAAGATTTTGAACGTAATAAATATTTAAATTTATTCTCATTTACATTATCATTCACATTACCAGTTAAAATTACATTACCAGCATTACTTCTTACAATTTAATGATAAATTATATAACTTGCATTAATAAGGACTGAAATTGAATTCCAAATTAAGTCCGTTATATAATTTATATTTAAAATAGGTGAAACATAACATTTCGAGGTGAAACATGGTAGTAAATTTAAAAAATTAATAAAAAATTGATATTATAAACAATATGTTCTAATACGATTCTAATAAGAATAGAAAAGTTAAAAAAAAATGTGCTTAACTGAATACGAAATCAGAATTAATAAATTTCTTATATCAGATTAGATAAAAATATTTACATGGCTTACATCTATGTTACAAAAATTATAGTACAAAAAAATATATAATCGAATTAACTGTAAAACATTCAATTCGAAAATATTTTAAGAAAAAAGCTTTTTGTACATCGAATTTTCGAAATTATATGGAAAACTTAAAAATAAATTTTGTCAAAGTCTTCTTTTTTATTTTTTGTACATTATAACATTTTTTAAACATATTCTTTTTCAAGTAACATAATATTAAAACTGGATTCCTATTACTATAACATGAATACCTACTATTTCTATTTCAATTAAGTATGTTATTACTGAATTTTAAAATATCTAACTTAAATATGTATAAGGATAACATTTTCTCATATACTAAAAGGGTAAAAAATTTAAGATTTGAGAGAATTTAAGAAATAATTTCATGTAATATAAATGTTCGATTAATTTCGACAGAATTTCAGTTCAGAAAATTCTCTTCTCTTTCCTTTGGAGAGAAAAATAATAATGGAATAGAGAGAAACATAAGAGATCCGAACATTTAAAAATATAACAAATAAATTTATTCGGACGAAAAAAAAAGAAAAATTTTCTATTCTCATCCTAAAAAGGATAAAGGATAATAAAAAAAATAAATGGAATTTTTTTATGATTTTGAGTATAATACAGATTATATATATGTATATAATACAGATTATTATATGTATATATGCATATATAATTATTATATATAGTATAGTTATATTTTCATATTAAAGAGTATGCGTATGACGAAGAATCTATTACTATTAATATATGTTTTTCATGCATGTTTTCTTAATTTTCTTAACCATATTATTTTATATAACACTTCTAATTTTTCGAATATTTTACACTAATACTTAAAAAATAGAGTAAATACATAAGTAATATTGCGTATATATAAAAAAACATAAAATGTGTGTCAATTACTTAAGTGTTATACATTTTCGAAAAATTTTCATATTATATACCAAAAATTTATATTTATTAATATAAGTAAATAGAAGAATTTTTTATGGTATACATAAAATTTTTTTTCTGTTTCGAATTTTTCGAAAATATTTTCGAAATTTACGAAAAAACATTTTATTCGAAATTACAATATTTTCCAATTAAATTCTCATTTTCTTTTTTCTACAAAATATATAAAAAAAATTTTTACAATGAAATCACAATTTTTTCTCATGGGGAAATATTATACCCTCTCTCATTTTATTATAAATAAAAAATTTTTATTCTCTGTATAACAATTTGTTATATAATATAATTCGAAGGATTTTCAATGAAAATTTTCTTTTTTATTTTGATTTTTCTTATTTCATGTTTCGAGTACTGAAAGCAATAATAGAGAAAAAAAAACAGAAAAGAAAAAAATGAGAAAAATTAAACAACAACAAAATATAAAAAAATAATAGAACTGAAAAGAAAAAAAGGAACTGAAAATTCATATTATGTATACGAAATCAAAATAAATTGGGAAAAGCAAAAAAACAACAAAAACAATTGAAGAAAAAAGAACTTTATATCCATTTTTAAAAAGAATTTTTTCATTTTAGTTGTAACGAGATCGTCGTCGGGTTTAAATGTGTGCGTCCTAACTAAAATCACTGTGTACGCGCCATCATTATTCTTTGTGCAATTCCTTATATATTATTATAAATTATAATTTCTTATTTTTCTCTTATATTATTATAATATTATATTGTGTATATTTTTACAATAATAAATCAAATAATTAATTAATTATTATTATAAATATAATTAAAATTTTATTTAAAAAAAAAAAATTAAAATAAATTTTTTTAATTTTTAATTAAAATATTTCTGTGAAAGAAAAAAATGAGAATATAAAAAATATAATTAAAAGAAAAAAGAAAAAAAAAAAAGAGAGAAAATCAACAATATTATACGGAATAAATGTAAAAATATATAAGAAAGAAATGTAGAAATAAAATTATGTATTAAAAAAAATATATTTCAAAATCAGAATTGAAAATAAAGAAAAAAAAAAATGAAAATTGAATAATAATTTAAAATAGTTGTTTATATATGCCTATAAAACATATATAAATAAATAAGAAGAAATATATAAAAAAAAAAAAAATTAGAAAATAAATAAGAAAAAATGAAAAAATTAAGAGAAAAAATTTATAAAATATATGGGAATTCGCAACGTATTACTTTTAAAAATACCACGTAAAACGGATAATTTAGATGAAGATCAAAAAAATAAAATTATGACAAAATCGTAAAAATATAAAAGAAAAGTAAATAAATAAAATAAATAATTAAAAAAAAAAAAATTATTAAATACAAAAAATTAATTTTGTATTTTATTAATTTTTTATATATATATATATCAGTTGAAAATATTATAAAAAAGTTAAAAATTAAATTATAAGTAAATTTAATCAAATATTTTATGAAAAACAAAATGTTAGTTTTGAAATAATATATAGAAAAACAAACTATAAAATAATTAGTTAGCGCAAAAATTTACTAACGGTATTAAATTATATTTAAAAACGAAAATTAAGAAATCTCGCTATTATTCTTTTCCCAATTTATTAATAATGTTATACAAAGTAAAGAATAAAAAAAAAAATATTATAAATTATTTTTTTTTATCTTCGCTTTCGGCCACGCTTTAATTATAAAATATAAATCTTTTTCCAGTTTTTTTTTTTTTTGGTTTAATTTTTGTTTTCTCATCTTCTAATCATTAATAAGAGAAAATATATATATATATATATATATTTATATTTATTCCTTCAATAAATAAAATTGTTTTGTAATATTTAAATTTATTGTCTGGTGCTACGAATTTTAATTGCCTAAGTTTTAAATAAATAATTCTTGATTATATTTTTAAAGTATTTATTTATATTTACATAAATAAATATACTTACAATACGTTGATATATATATATATATATATATATATATATATATATATAACATAATATACATATATATATATATATATATATATATGCGTATTATTATATAAAAATGTATACATAAAATATAAGTGGGAATAAAGAAAAGAAAAACAAAATATTAAAATATTTTTATTTTATAAAAAAAAAAATTTGTATAACAAATAAAATTATATGTATATATGTATATATATCGAAAATAAGAAATAAATAAATAAATAAATAAAGTGTTTACATAAATGAATAATCGAAATATTATTGAAAATATTTTAATTAAAAATTAAAATATTTAAGAGTTATGAAAATATATATATTTTTGTTTTTGTGGGAATTAAACTACAAGAGTTACAAATTGTTACTGAATATCATAAATAATCAAAATATTATATAAAATAAATTGAATTTGTTTTGATAATATTATGCATAATTCATGAACATTGAACTAATATTAAATATATAATTAATTACAAGTTATATACAAGTTAAATTTGAGAGATATAGAATTGAATTTTGACAAACACACAAAAACAAAAACATGTGCGGATGCAAAAAGAACACAAATTCTTCGACTTGGTTAATCAAAAAATAAATTTTTGAAATAGCAGAATTATAAAATTTTAAAAATTCAGTTTTTGATATAAGCTATGGCTAATATATTATACAAAATTCAATGATAAATCAACAATATTATACAATTGAAAAATTTAAAAAAAAATTATAATTAATCCAATCTTCCCTGTTGTTGTTCGTTTCAAATAACCCTCGAATTAAAGACAAAAAATTTAATACTTAGTATTAAAATTATTTCATTATTTGCTATGTGTTTCATTATTTATTATAATATTATTATAAATTAAATTTAGAAAATTCTTCATATTAAAATAGTAAAAATGATATTAATAATAGTATTAATGATATTATTAATAATATAATTACAAATAATTCTATAATATAATATATCATAATCATAATATTATTAACAATAATAAAAATTTGTTTAAAATTATATACAAATAAAATTATTAAATATATTAATTAATAAAAATATACTGATGATTATTAAAATATTCATTAAAATAAATAATAATTATTATTGCTGATAATTAATTTTATACAATATGTAATTAAATTGTTATAACACAATAAATAATTTATTTTAATAAATATATAATAGCCTATATACATTATTTATAATGTATACAAAATATAAATAAATAATTTATACAAGTATTACAAAAAAATAAAAATAAAACACACAATAAGTTTTTAAATAAACAGTAAATAGAAATAAAATAAAAAAAAAAAGTAATAATCATTGAAAAATTATATTGTGTGTCAAAACAAAAAAAAACAATCTTTGAAATTACAAAAAAAAATTTTTTTTTTCCTGTTTAATTAAAAAAAGGATAAACATTTGTTTTTTTTTTTGTTTTAAAAATTTAAGGCTAAATATTGAGAAAAAAAAAACCAATTTTTTTTTCTTCTTTTAGCAAACTTAAATATGAAAAAAATATATATATATAAATTCTATGTATTTTTATATGTGTGCCTGTGTATATTCAAGAGTGTTTATATATTGTGTATATATATATATATATATAAACAATGAATGTATAAATATATTAAAAATATATATAATTAATATATATATAAACAATTACATATATATTCACATATTATATATATATATATATTATACTTGTATGTACATATTCATTAAAAAAAATAAAGAAAAAATAAATTAAAAGTTCGAAATAGCCTAGAACTGTTCTCAAAAAAAAAAAAAATTCAGGAAAAAGTAATATAAACGCAAAAAAAAAAAAAAAAAACAAAAATATGAAACTAAAGGAAAAATATTTTTGTTATACACACATACAATTCTTTATATATACTAATATATAACTGTGATATATATAGAATATATAATTATATACCAATATTATATTATATAGCATATAATGTACATTATGTATTACATATAACTTAGATATATACACGTACATAAATTGCATAAATATATACCAAAATATATGCTAATGAAATATACTGCTATAATATAACACATTTACGTTACTCTTATATATAATAATAACAAGATATACTCGTAAAAGAGTATAATTTAAAAAAAAAAAAACAAGAAAAGTGAAATACAATTACATATTTTGTTTGAGTCCTTTTTTTTTTTTTTTGATTCCGAGAGAAAAATAATAATAATAATACACACTTTTATATATCTTCTATATATATATTATACATACGTATATATAACATTATATTGTATATTATGATAAACTGGTATACACATTAGAGTTATTTCGAAAATTTTCCACTTTTTTTTTGTTTTTTCTCTATATCGTTTTATATTAATTTTTGTTTTTATTTCTGTTAACGTCATTGCTATTTTATCGTTGTCGTAGTTTATGTCCTTGTCGTGCCGTCTGTTAGTGTATAACATTTTTAAGTTTTTCTTTTCTTAATTTTGTATATACACAGCAAAAAAAAAATATTATGAATATTTATTATATGTACATATTATATACATACAAATATATATATTATTAATATGGTATATAAAATTGTATGTATTATTCATAAAAATAGAAACACACATTTTGTTATACATAAAAAATTTATTTTCGCAAATACACATAATATTGTATACATGTGTATATTTTTATACAAATTGTATTACAAAAATTTGTTATTTTTTTCTCTTTTTCGCAATTGGAAATAATTTTGTTAAATTATTTTTTTTTTTGTTCTGTGTAACAATATGAAGAAGAAAAAAAAGAAAAAACAAAAATGATGACAAAAAAAGAGAAAATTAAAAAAAATTTCCACTTTTTTTTTTTTTTTTAATTTGATTTGATTATTTATAATTGCTTTATGCAATTGAATAAAAAAAAAATATTAAAAGTAAAATTTGAATAAATGGAATAGCAAAGTTATTATTTACTTAATTTCAAAACGCGTTTTCAAGAATAAATAATTTAGAACAAATATAACCTAAGAGAAGATTTTAAAAACCAAAACATTATTAATTGTGAATTTTGTTCAATCAGAATTGAATGGTTTTAAATTAAATTTTTCACCAAAGAAATTGAATTCACTACAGTTTAATTAAATTTTAAATCAAATCAAATAAACGTCGTGAATAATATTTGATAATAAATTAATATTATTGCTATTCTTATAGCTTAAAATTTCAAATTCAGTTTCGATTTCTTGTTTCGAAGTGTGTTACAATGATAACAAAATTGAATATTCATTTCAAGTTAATCCGAAATTTTGTTTAGAATAATTGATTTAATTTGAATATAACAATTTATTGTTTAAGAAAAAATAACTTTGACTTATAACATCAATATTATATTAAAAAATTCTTTATTATAGTATAATAATAATATTTTATTTTATCATTCAATTAATATTAATATGGAATTGTGTACATTCTAAAATATAAAATAATCTAAAATATTTTGTTTATAATGAAATAAATGTGTGTATATATGAAATGTAATGAATTATGTAGTAACAGTATTACAGTTTAAATGTAATTATTTTACTGGTACCATAAATTTTCTATAATCTATAGTAATTTCATCTTCTATAATTCGAATCATTATTGTGAACAACAAGTGCATTTCTTTTCATGAATTTATTTTTCCAATTTAATATATTTTAATCATTAATTTTAATTTATTTAGTAAAGAGCATTGATCTTTTAGTTGATTTTAAAAAAGTGCACTCCACACTTCTTATAAGTATTAAAAAATCTCAAACAAAATATCAGTGTTGCGATTTCCTTTATACAAGTTCAATACTCATATCGAATTTCTAAAATTTATTAAACAAAAGTATAGAAAATCAATTAACAATATAAATTAAATAATATTATTGTGTTCATTTAGAAATTGATTAAATCTCAAAAATCCCTATTAGAATCCATTTCCATTAGAATCATTATAATTCTCACTTCTAAATAAAATGAAATATTACTGAAAAATAATTTTTCAGTTTCATATTTTGCGTTTAAATAGACACTACACAATTAACTAATAACTCATAAAATATGTACATACAAAAACATATGCAATATATTTAAACAATATAATATGCAATATAATATAAAATACATACAAGAATTATTGTAATTTATTATAATTTTTGAATTTAATACTATTGTAAAATTATATAAAATTACAAAATTCAATATTAATTTCTAATATTCAATATTATTTATACAAAAAATCCATCTATATACAAAGTCGACAAAAATCTATATATACTTAAATTCAAATAAAAATATATATGAAATGGAAAATATTATTAAAAATTTAAAGATGCACAATATTTATATTACTAAAATAATTATAAATGAAATATAAATTACTATCAAGGAATACAAAACCAATTTTCATTCTTCTATAATAAATGGAAAATTAAAAAATTATAAAACAAAATTTGGAAAGCTACAAGGAGGAAAAAAATTAAAACCAAAACGAAACAAATTTATAATTACAAAAAAAAAAAAACAAACCAAAATGGATTAATTGAAAAATGAAATTAAAAAATTAAAATTGAATTTTAGAAAAAAATCAATTTAAATGAATTTTTTACATCAAAATCGTATAATAAACTACACTATACAACACTATTACTTAATACTACCAGTCCAGAAGAGAAATTAATAAAAAAAACAACAAAATATAATAAAAAATATCATTAAACTAATTATTCCAAAAAAATAATAAAAATTACAATAATTTTTAATTAAAATTTAAATAAAACAAAATATTATAATTTAAAATAATAAAAATAATAAAAAAAAAATTTTTCGTTATTAATTACACCTGTGTTTAGCAACCATTTTATAAACGCTGTCAATGTCACAATATTAGGTTTAACAAAAAAGAAAAAAAAAAATTCAAAATAGAAAACATGAAAAAATAAATTTTATAAAAAAAAAATATAAAATAATAAATTATTTAAATTTAGGTTCGAAAAATCTTCAGAAAAAGAGAAAAACCAACTTCAATAAAAAATAAAATCAAAAATATCGTTGATATTCAGAAAACAAAAATTAAGATAGTTAATAAAAAATAAATGTTATACTAATTTAAAAAAAGAAAATATAAAATTATTTATTGTAAATTATAATAAAAATTTTAATAAAATTAAAAAAAAAAAATATAAGAAAACAAAAACTACTAATATAATTTAATTTAATTATCATTATATACTTTTAATTTTAAATTAATTAATAATACTATTATATTATAAAATTAGGAAATTTCAATAATCTAATATTAAAAGAAAACAAAAAATTAATATTCTTTAATCGAAAAAAAAAAAATCTATTTAACAAAAATACTTACAATATATTTTTTAATTACTTTTTAATTTTTTTAAAAAATTCATATAAATTTTTATTCTATATTAAAATATATACCTATTATTAAAACTTAATTATTATTATTATTACAATATAACATTATAATTATTATATTAATAAAATACAAAACAATAAAACACATAAAAAAAAAGAATCAATGACATTGTGTTCATTGGGAATTAATTGGTGCTATAAAAATATTTAAAAGTAAATAAAGTAAATAATTATAAAAAAAAAATTTAAATTAATTAAATAAATAATTATTATTTAAAATTAAAATATTAATGAAAAAAATTTCGCATTAATTATAAAATTAATAATATATAAAACATACCATATACAATATTAGAATAAAAATTATTTTTAAATACAAATAGAGTAGGAAAATTAATAATTGAGAAAACCCAAAAAAAAAAAAATTATAATAATTATAATAACATTTAGATATTATTATTTCAACCTAACATAATAAATAAATTACAATTTTTTTTTTAGGTTCAAATTTTTTAGAAAATATAGAAATTATAATAATCTCGGTGTTTATATATATAAATAAAAATCAAGGTATATGAAAACGCCTCAAAAAAATAACAAAAACTATATAATTATATAATAAACCTAATATTATAATATTAATTTATTAATAATGTACAGATGTATATATAAATATAACATATTATTTATAATAAAAACCTTGTATATTAAAATTAAATAATTATTATATGATATTATTATTTTTCTGTTAAAAGAAAAGCATAACCTTAAAAAACAAAAAAAATTTATAATATAATATAAATAGTAGTAATAATAGGTAATAATATAATAAACAGCTAAAAAAAAAATTAATTATTAATTAAATGAAAACCTGTTAAATTAAAACTGTAAATTAAAAAAAAAAACAATTAATTATAAAATTATTAGAGAAAAAAAAATGGAAAATATTCTATAATTTCTTAGTTAATAAGCTGTATATAACCGGATTGAAAAATCAAAATGAATTGAGCACTTGTGATTTGATTGTATATAAAAAATAAATAAATAAATAAATATTACTATATAAACAAAAAAAAAAAATTATAAATAAAAAATTTTAATTTAAATAATAATTTCAAATTTCGAAAACCCAAAACAAAAAAGAGGAATAATAAATTATTATAATTATATTGTTATATAATTATAAAACATTTATTTATAATCCATAATATAATAAAATAATTTTAATTTATATATATATACTAATAATTATATTTATATTATTATTTATTAAAATAATAAAAAAAAAAGAAATTCTCTTTAATACACAACACACATTCTAACTCTCTCTTTCTCTTTCTCTCTCCTCTTTGTATTATAATAATTATAATAATATATAATAATTAATAAAATTTAAATAATATTAAATTAAATTTAAATCGGAAAAAAAAACCAAGAAAAAAAAAACTATCATTTAATTTATAATTTTAGATATTATATGTAAATAAATTAATAAAATTTAAATTCATAATTATTATAAAAAACAAAAGCACAGTCAAAAGACATAACATAATTATTTTATAAAACTATTAAAATCAAATTATATATATATATATATATATATGCATAAAAATTATTATTAAATAATAAAAAAAAAGGAAAATTTGATTTTAATTTATAAATTATATGAAAAACTATATTATTAACCTAAAATTAACCTTATTATTAATTAATTATTATCAATTTAAAAATTTAAATTAAAAAACAAAACCAAAAAAAAAATCAACTAAAAATATATATGTAATATTAAATAATTATAATAAAAATTAATTGTAATAGAAAATTTTCGGTTCTCTTGTTTGTTTTTTTCTGTAATTACAGTAATAATTAATTAAACTAATTAATTTTTCAAAAATTATTAAAATAATAAAAAAAAAAAACGATTAAAAAAAGTTAACAAGGTGTTGTTGTTTATTTTTTCTTTCTTAATTAATTTCTTATTTTATATATTTAAAATAAAATAAAAATTATTTATAATAATAATTGAATAACAAAAATATAGTTAATAATTAATTTAATAAACTTTAAGAAAATCAAATATTAAAATAAAAAAAATTAATAATAGATAGAAAAATGTAAAATCAATTTATTTGTATAGAAAACCAAAGATAATTAATTGATACTATAATAAAATATTTTTTTCAAAATAAAAATTTAAAAAATTTACCCAAAAAAAAAACAAAAATATCAAATTAACAAAGAAAATCTTTAAAATATTTTTATAAAATATATTTGTTTATTATAAAAATTTTATTTATTTCATTTTTGTATCACGCATTTCTCTCAGTTTTTTTGTATAATATTGGAATGTGCAATTGTAAAAATTTAACAAAATTAATTATTTATAAATTAGATGCCCATCAAAAAACCTTATTAAAAGCATTTAAAAATTTCCTATACTTCAACTATTACAACTACTATAACAATTTAAATATAATAATTTTTATCTTTAATATAATATTAATATTAAATTGTATTGGAAATAATCAAAAAAATAATTTTAATTTAAATTATTTTATTAATAAAAAATTAAAATTTAATAAAATATCAACGATATTATTGAAAAAATATATAATAAATTATTTAATAAATAAAAAATTTGCATTAATTATTAAAATAATATATTTTAATAAATATCAAATAATAAAAATATTATTATTAAAATATATAAAAAATTTATTTTATAAAATTAAATTAAAATATTATAATATTATAAATAATTGTAATAATAATATAATAGAAATTTATAATAAAAATAAAAATAAAAATAATTGTGAAATTGGCAATCTATTATCAATTAATAGTAGCAGTTTCTCATTCTGGCACTGTCACAAAGCGATAACGGTGAATTCAGTAATAATTCAAATAATTCAAATAATAGTGATAAAAAAACATTCTCATTTCATTGCTGTTGCATGATAGTTGATATTACCCCGGTAGCACACTGTGGACCTCGTGGTCAATTAACATCTGGTAAAGATGTAGCTGCTGGTGGTAGTAGTGCAGCCTCGGATACTGGTAGTAGTCTTGGTGGTGGTTTAACACAATTTGCTAGTAATTTATTTCGTTTTGGTTCACAACAAAAACGTGGTGTTTGTGTATGTAATGCACAATGTCGTTTACAGCCATTAGGTAAAGGACCATTAGGACCAACAATAAAAACACATCACGGTTCATTAGATCGTCTATTACAACAAGATGATATTAAACATGAAGTAGCTAGAGAATTTTTACAATTAACTAAAAAAGATTCTGTTCCAACATTAGTATCTGGTCCTGGTTCTGGGAAAGCATTACTTGCTACTCCGCCACCATTACAACAACAACAACAACAGCAACAACAGCAGCAACAACAACAACAACAACAATTGTTAGATTCATCAATACAACAACAACAACAACAACAACAGCAACAAACTAAAACAATGCCTGAACAACCATCAAAAAGTGTTAAAGAAGAATTTGATAAAGGTGTTGAAGTTGAAAAATTTTATCATCAAATAAATGGTGATATTTTTGAGATAACGCGACGCGTTCGTGCTAAAGATGAAGATACAATGGAGCAAAAAATTATCCAAAGACGTGGTTCGTTTCGGCACCAAGGTATACATCATCATAAACATCATTTAATATGTAGTGCTAGTGGTAATGTTAGTGATACTGGTGGTATGACAACTGGTGGTGGTATATTACATCATCATCGTAGAGAGAAACCTAAACCACCACCACGTGTATCATCACGTCAAAAAAGTGCTGAAGCTGAACAGGCAAGACGTGATTCCGATATTGAATGGTTTAATAGAGATGCTCAACAGAGACATTCAGCCCGTTCTGCTGAAGCAGGTCCAGTACGAGATGAAACTATAGAATGGTTAAGTAAACAGCAAATTCCACAAAGGACTTCATCAGGACCAAGTGAAATTTCAATATTGAAAGATGAAATTCCAGAATGGATGTTAGAGTATTTACCAGCAAAACGGGATAAAATTGAACGTAAAACATCATTAGAACAACAAAAATATCATCAGCATGTGCATCAACACCAATATCAGACACAACAACAAAAACAAATTAGTAGCTCTTATGCGAAATCTTTAAAAGAGGAGCTTTCTGAGTTACTTAAAAAGCCATTACAAAGGCAATTATCTGGTCCAGGCAGTTCAGGTGAAATGTCATTTTTTAAGAGTGACATTGTCGAGTGGTTAACAAAACTTCAAACTACTTCGTCAAAACAAAAAGACGAAGGTGCAGTGCCTAAGCAAACCCGAATCGGTGAACATAAAAGAAACGGTAGTAGTGGTGGTGCTTTAGCAAGTCGTAGTTATTCACAAGAACAAGAACAAAAACCGAAAAAGCGTCATTCTTTCGGTCACAGTGATCGGGAAATAGAAAAAGAAGAAATCCCTGATTGGATACCATATCCTATTTCAAAAGCACCATCCGGTAAAAGTTTAAATATGCCTGGTAGTTTAATTGAATTACCTAGAACACCAAAAGATAAGCAACCACCTGAAATGCAAATGCAGCAACAACAACAACAAACACAACAACAATCTGATAGATCTAGAGATCGTAAACTACGACATTCAGCTAGTGAAGCAGTGTCGCCCTCCATTGAAAGAGCATTATATGCTATTCCGCGTAAAATCGAACAAAAATACCATTATGTGCCCAAAGATCAACTTGCATCGGTTCAACAACAAATGCAAACAACACCAAGCAGTAGCGGTCGTGATCGTGAATCAAAACGTGAACGATCACGTCGTTATCATACACAACGTTCAGCAACTGTTACTGATATGTCAAATGGTGCTGCACAATCTCGTTCTCATTCAAATCATCATAAACGTAAATCATCATCAGCTGAACGTGCTCCACGTTCTCCATCACCATGTACAGATCCTTTATGTCCATTATTACCCATATGTACGGACCCACATTGCTGTTATATGGAACCGTGTTATGATCCATGTTGTCATGAATGTCGTTGTACAAATTCACTTCCACGTTGCCAAAGTTCAAAATGTGTTAACGCAATCAAATGTAATTCACTGCCAAGATGTGCTGCGGATGTCAGTCGTTCAATGTTAATGATGCATAGTGGAACTGTTGCTGGAGAAGGTGATAGTGGCCAAATTTTCACAACAGCAACTGTATCTGCATTTCAACCAGCAACAGTAACAGCAACAACAACAACAACTCATACACATCGCTCTAGAATAAATGGTTCCACAAATAGTTTAAATTATTATCGTTCAAATTCACAACCTAATACATTACAACGTAATGATTCCCGTGCATCAATACCACGTGCTATTAAACCAAAAAATAATGGTGCTAGTAATCATATACAACATAATAAAAATGGTAAATTAATGAAATCAGCATCAGCTGCATCATTAAATTCACGTCGACGACGTCATAAAACTGTACATTTTGGTGAAAATTTATTACGTGAAGTATGTCAAAATCGTCGACTTATTAAACCAGAAACTCCGTCCGGTTCAGCACCAATGCAACCTAATATACAAATGTTATATAATTTTGTTGAAGGTGTATTAAGTGCATGGGTTGACGATGATGATGATCATAAATCTGGTGCTGAATCTGAACCAGAACGTGGTGTTATGTCGTTAAAACCGATACATCGTTGTAATCGTGTACGTTATCAAGTAATACGTCGTGTCGTTACGGAAGCAGCACAATTACGTGGTAGTTTAAAATTAGGTAATTCTAGATATCGTCATAGGCATTGGCGTGGTACAGCTAAAGAATGTAATGAACGTTTCCTAAGAAAGGTAAAGCAAACATTTTTTTTTTTTCCAAATAAATGTTATTTTCTAGCATATTTTAAGTACATATTTAAGAGAAAATATTAAAGAAATATTTTATTTTCAGAAATGATATTTAAGAAAATAATTCAATTCAAATAAATATGTAATTAATATTAAAAAAAAAAAAATTATATAACATGTTACAGTTGTTATACTCTATAACATATATTATGTATAATTATATTTCATTATTGTATTACCTATAATAATGGTTACGATTCTGAATTTGATTAATTGATACAAGTATAGTACAAGTGTTAAAGAAACAAAAAAAAAAACAAAAGGTACCTTTGCGTGTTTTAAATCTCTTGTCATCGTTGTTAATTTGAGTGATTTTTTATTTCTATTTCTGTTCTATTACTGGTTTAGTTTAAGAGTTGCCATTCTTATGAGAATTGATTGAAATTTATAATAATATTCTTTCTTCTTTCGATCACATTTTGGAATTATTTTAATATTACATTATGTACTTGTTATAGTGGTGTTATAAAGCAATAAAAAAATGTGTTTAATATTTAGAAGAACAGACTGTTATGAGCTACTTTGAACTGAATATATTATATACTGTTACTGTTATGATATACTATTAAATCTGCTTTTAACGCTGTCGCCCACGAAATTCTTGAAATTTCTCTAAATTTTTTATACGCAACCCAAAATTACTTTTGAAATTTTATATTTTTCGAGAAAACATGGAGTCTACGTGCTTTTTTTATTTTATTTTTAAATTAACAAAACCAATTTTATTTTAAATACTTTTTCTTTAAATTTAAATGGTAACCTTTTAGCCCTGATTCTGTTATTTACTGCACTAGTACATATTATTATATAATATTTATCGATTTTTTTAACCAAATTTTATAGTAATTTTATGTTATCGATGTTATTGTCATCACACTACATAATATCAAAAATAATAAAAAACACACCCATTATATTTAATGTGTAACTATTAACTACAAAAAGGAGCGAAAAAAAAAATTATAGTAATGAATTGGTTTTGATATTTTGTTTGTATAACACTATAAACCAATATTATATATTTATTCAAAAAAAAGCGTATATCTTTATACATTTTCATAATATAATTTTCTAATAGAAATTATTATTACAAACAAAAAATATCCTTTTGTTGAAATTTTAATAGTTTTGTTATTATAATATTTTTCTATTCATACCATCCTGATTCGTTTATTTTTTTTTTCAATATTTTAATATTGATTTCTTCTGTAAAGTCCTTTTTTTAACACTATATTTAAAGGATAATACTGAAGCTGGTCTTACATACAATAATAATTATTAAAATTTAATGTCAAAAAAGGATCTCTTGATTTTTACATTATAAAATAGAAAATCATTGATTTTTAAAATCGAAATATAAAATTAATTATGTATACTCATTATTATTATTATTATTTTTATTTGATAATTATGTTAGAAAACAAAAAAAAAAACAGGATCAATAAAAATTTTAATGGATGACTTTGTAATAATTTTGGTATGTTAGAGTTTTAAAGGAATATAAACTATAGTAAAGCTATAATTTGTTTTATATTATGCTTTGTAATTATTAATTATCAAAAGGATTGTTATTTATGATAAAATACAATATATTTTTATAAATAGTTTAATGCATAAAACAAATTAAATAAAATAAAAATTATTGTTATACACGCATGCTATTGATCTCTGCTTATGAAAGGTCACAAGTAAGAATGAAAATTTTTTTATTATTTTAAAAAATTATTAATTTAATAATTAAAAAAATTAATTCCTTCCATTAATAATTTTATTTATTCGATTAATTATTTCAAATTTTATTGAATTATTTTATTAATTAAATTTATGTAAGTTAAATTATTATTATACTGATTATATTTGACCTTTAATTATAAACGATATTAAAATATATATTTTAATATTATTATAACAAGGAATGTGTGTATCTTAAAAATTTTTATATTGGAACTCGATTAAGAATATTATAATGATTTATTTAATAGAATATACGGATTCAATACAATTATTATGACCGACTATGTTACTGACTTACAATATGCTATAAAAATGATATTATCAATTAAAACTTTGTTTTTAGGTCTTTGGTCCTTACTAAATAATTTTAGCTTTATGTTATAAAAAGAAAATTTTTTAACTAGAGCTTATGCTAAATTTAAACTATTAATAAAAAATTAGCCAGAAGTTTTCGCAGAACTTTTTATGAATCTGATTTTTGATATTACTCTATGACTTCATAATTTTTGTAGGATTTTATTTCTATACAACTATTTATACTGTCTATAATTTTGATTTACACATACTAGTATTTTGATTAGCATCTGATGTAGATAAAGAAATTTATATTATCAGAAATTTATTTGTAATAGTTTGACAATTTTAATTTAAAATCAAATGAATTTTTATTAGTTTTAATTCAAATTTTCATTTAATTACAAATTCGTTAACTTTACAAATATTAAATTTTATGTTTACAAAATACTTTTTACTATTTGTTGAGTTAAAAACAATCAAAAAATAAAAAAATAAAAATTGTTTAAAGCAAAAAAATCATCACTATCTTTAAAAATACTATGACATTATTTACATTTTCCCTTACAAATCAAAAAATAATTGCTTTTAAATTAAATAAAAAATTTAAAAAATTCTTCAAAATTTTAATTAAAAACTTTTAAATTAAATATTATTTAATTCCCTAGAAGTATGCAATTTTAATTAATTATACATAATTTCTTACACAAGCATCATTTACAGTTTTCATTCAATGTATAAACAAAATTTAATTATATTACTTTGCTTTCTATAATTTTCATAGAAGATTTTCTAAAATTATTATATAATTTTAATTAAAATGAAATTCTTCAAGAAAAAATATCAATAATTTTATAGAAAAAAAATTTTCTGAATTTTACATAAAAATTCTTCTATTATATTAGTTTAAGCGAAAATTAAGCGAAAAAAAAAATTAATTACCGAGAAAATGTGATCGATATAACAGTAAAATTATGTAATTTTTTAATTCGCTGCTTGTTGATCAATCAATAAATTTAAAATTTTCTAAAGGGGGACATAAAAATTTTAGTTCAAAAGTTTTTCGTGTTCAAAAGTTATGTATTAAAAGCATAATTAGTTTTAAATTATTTTGTAATGGTATTTTATTAAACAAAATTAAATTATTAGAATTTCATTTCAGTAATTAATGAATTTTTTAATTTTAATTAAAATGCTGAAAACTATTTTTTTTCAATTTTCTGGAAAAATGTTGTAAAAATATTAAAAATTTAGAGTAAATTAAATTTTATAATAGCTTGAAAATTAAAGTATCTTAAACAGAGTAGATTATCATCATTTTTTCACATGAACAACTTATATAATTTTCAAGAAAACTATTCATTAGAGTCAAAAATAATTGTTGAATAAATCTCTGAAAATTAACTAAATCAATTCAAACTTTTTATGATCTCATTAAAATTAATTGAGAATAATTTAATATTTTTATTCCCTTTAAATACAAACTTTCATTTCAAATTTCTTCTATTTTTTATATTACTTATTGGAAACTAAAATACAATATGTAGGATAATGTGTTCTAATAAAGGTAATATTTTTTAGCTTTTAAATAATAAGTAAAAGCGGTGTCCTTTCTATTACAAAATTTGATGAAAATATTTAAAGTATATACATATGTATCAAGTACTTGTATAATAAATTTTAACTAATTCATCAAGTTGATGAGACCATATTATACTTTGTATTATATACTTAAATAAAGAAATCACTTTAATAACTCAACATATCGAAAATTTCTGTTAGGTGAATTATAAGATTTCTTTACAATAAATTTAATAGTAGTAAACTTATTAAATTTTAAGTGCTCCCTGAATAACTTGATTTTATATTGTCATTAAATCTAAAGTAATAATCTACATTAACAACAATATAACAATAATAATAATTATGAAAGAAATGTCATTTAAATTTATATATCAATATGATTAAAATACAAAAATTTATTTAAATATAATACAAAAAAATTTTCTTTTTAAATATTTTTATCTCAACTTGACTTTTGATATTTTAAAAGAATAAAAAAATAAAAAAATTAAATTTTAATTTTTTTTTTTGCTTTTCCCTTTTACCCTACTTTTATTTTTTATGTACACAAAATATTGTAATTATTTACATAGTACTTTATGACTGATACCATTTTTATGCTCTCTTCTCTAAAAAATATTTTCTATATTTTAGTTTTTCAACTTTATTTTATAATTTTTTTTTTCAAGTTTTCTATTTATTTTAAAGTATAATATGCCGCTGAATTGAATGAATGCTAAAAGTTGGTATATTTATGTATGTATATAGGGAAAAAATCATCATAGTTGCTTAAAGTTTAAATAATTAAGGAATATCTATATCCTTTATCTTATACCTATACATTATATTGTTACAGTTATAATATATTTGAGCTGTATAAGAAGCGAAACGAAATTCCAGAAACTTTTTCTCATTTTTACAAATTTTTTTTTTTTTTTTTGGTAAACCACTTGAAATTTTAACGTATCTTCTTCTCTTTAGAACTTGAAACTACTAACTAAAATGAACAAAAACAAAAACAAAAAAAAAATTTATTAAAAGTTGTATAAAAAAGAAGAAAAAAAGAACAAATATAAATGGAAAATTCAAATAAAAATAAAAAAAAAACAAAACTTTGTTTTTTAACAAAATTTCAAGGAAAAATTTAAAAAAAAATTTGAATATTTGAAAAACTATCATAACAAATTTTATTTTTTTTTTGAGATTTTCTAAAATTTAAATAATAATTTTAACATTTTTTTGAGAAAATTGAACGGGGGTAGAGCGAGGATGCACAACAAATTATAAAAGAGTAAAAATTTGTTGTAAATAAAATTCTCTAGTTGAACTCTAAAATATTTAAAATTATTAAA